TAATTCTTAAATCTGGTCTTTCTGTGTTATCCCATAATTCTTGAAATGTTCTGCTCATGGTTTCTTACCATTTTCACTGTGTGGTCAAGATTCTTTTCAAGATTATACATTTTGCCTCCATTGTCTGAGGTCCTATCTTCCATGTGGTCTAATCTGTTGGTGGGGCTTTCYATTGAGTTTTTAATTTGGTTTATTGTTTCTTTCATTTCAAGGATTTATTTTTTTTTTCAGAAGCTCAGTCTCCTTATTGAAGTAATCTTTTGCTTCCTGTATTTGCTTATGTAGCTCTTTATCGAAATGATCTTTTGCTGCCTGTATTTGTTCTCTTACATCCTTTAATTTACAGAGCATTTTAATCATGTACATCTGAACTCTTTCTCTGTCCGTCCTTCTGCGGTGCTGGCCAGGGATTCCAATAATGTGGCATCTTGGTTTGTTGGGGGCACTTCCTTCCCTTGTTCTTTCCTGTGTCTTCCTCCTAGCTCTGGGATCRGAGGTGTTCCAGTTCTTACCCTATAGGCTTACAGTGTCCCTGCAGGGTTCCAGTGCCTCTCCTTTAAGGGGGAGAACAATGTGAACAGATCCCAATAGAAACAATATACAGCCTTCAACCAAAGAGCTGCTATTAAGACATTTACGGTTTCTCACAACATACAGAAATGGTGAGTTCAGTTATGACCTACAACCTGAACAGCAGGTCTGCAAGAGGGTCCACAGTTTCTGATGGTGGACAAAGAGCCAGGGGAGAGGTGTAGGATGAGATGTTGAGGGGGAGGAGGTGAGGATACAGAGTTACTAGATCTTAGGAAGATGAAAGAGGAACCTAAAGATGTTGGTTAGTAGCAGGAGAAAAGAGAGAAAGTGATTTGGGGAGACAAGTAAGTGGGAAGACAACAGAGTATGACAAACAAACATAAAAATTAGGAAAAATAGAAAGTGTAAAAATAGGAGATAAACGAGTACACACACCACTGTGATATACTATTCAGACGTCCCAGTCCTCAGCAGCCTGATCCATGGAAAGTACCTGGTTTCACAAATGTTGGGGAGGTGAGGGTGGGAGAAGAGAGGGGGGAATCTCCAAGGAAGATAGAGGTTGTTTTGTTGGGGGTCAGTGTCTCTCCCSCTTCCCTCTGGTCCAGTAGGTGGGCTGTCTGTGGTTGGCTGGTATCTGCACCCTCAGGATGGGGAGGGCCATCAGGTGGGAGGGTCGGTCTTGGGGCRGAGCTCCTGGAGGTGGGGTAGGATAGCACTTGCCCTTCCCCCTGGGGGACTGCACCCCGAGGATCTCCTTTGGGGCTGCTCGTGTGACGTGGACACCTGGTCTTAC